GTCCTAAAAAAAAAAAAAAGTGCTGCGAATAATACCCATGAGAACCCGATGTCATGTAGAGTCCTTTTCAGGCTGCAGCAGCTACTTCTCATCGCCGCTGCCCTCTTCGGAGGAACTGTCGTCCGCCTTCTTGGCCGCTGCCTTTTTGGCCGCAGCTTTCTTGGCCTTCTTTTTCTTGTTTTTCTTTGACGACTCGGACTTCTTGGGCTCGGCCTTGGGTTCGTCCTTCTTCTTGGTTTCAGGCCTTGCCCTTTCGTCGACCATCTTGCTTTCCACTGGTGCCGGCTTCTCTTCTTTCTCGACATTCTCCACGGGCTCCGCCTTCTCAGGCTTCTCTTCTCCTAATTTGTCCTCGTCTATCTCCACCTTTTCCTCCTTCGTCTCCTTCTCTTCCTTTTCTTCCTCCTTCGCCTCCTTCGCCTCAGGCTTTGTCTCGAGTATAGCCTCGTCATTCTTTTCGACTTTCTTCGTAGTCGTCGAAGTACCGTCTTTTGGCGGGGGCGGAGGGGGTGCAGAATCGTCATTGTCGCTGTCTTCCTTGGCCTTGTTCTCAGCCTTGACTTCGCCTTTCTTGGCGGCCTCCTTGTCCGCCTCCTTGTCGGTTTCCTCTGTGGTCTCTTCTGTGGCCTCCTTTGTGATCTCCTTTAGGGACTCGCCCGAAGGCTCTCTTTCGACGGAAGGCTCTACGGCTGGCACCGCTGGCGGAGGAGGAGGCGTAGCTGGCTTGATAACCTTGTTCGTGGCAATCGTCCGGAGCACGTCACCCGTCTTTTCGAACCCATCAATCTTACTGAGGCGGTTCTTGAAGTAATCGAGGTCTTGGAGCATGCTGTTATAGTTGGTTAGTTCACTGCTTTTCCTTCGTTTATTTTCATCGGCAATTGGGGTTAACAGCACATACTTCTCTTGGCCCTTCCGGGTGCGGACTTCGGCCGTGGTCAACACGCTGCTCAGATGCTCAGTGTAGCTAGCAAACACGGGCACCATAATAAATCGCACGCTGCTCTCGGGGAGGTTCTTGACGAGGTTGCGGTGCAGCGTTATCGTATCCTTGACCAGCGTCTCCATGTACGCGTGCACTCCGGGCTCGCTATCGTCGTTGTCCCATGTGATCTTGGCCATCGTCCGGGCGTGGACCTGCGCGCGAGCACTCATGATTTCCATGAGCTTCTCAAAAATATTATTTTGGTGCTCTTGGTACAAGCGCCTAACTTTATCAAAATCGCCCATCAGGCTCGACGCCGTCACGCCCGGTACGGAGTTGGCGCGTCGCCGGATAAACTCGCGGACATACGGAACGAGTGTCGCCAGGAATGAGAGCGACTGGGCCGCAATAGCAAGATTGCGCGTATTAATGTTCTTGAGGCCGGCGGTTCTCGTGGCACCAGCGCCGAGGATGAGCTGTGTGCATCGCGAGTTGAACAGCTGCAGATATTGAACGAGTGTTGACGCCACCTCGGCGGTCATAAACGGAATGGCCACTGCCAGGTGCATATAGCGCGAAATGCCCCGGATGCAAACCAAGGCCGATGCGGGCAGCGAAAAGGTTTCTTCGTCAATAGTGGCGCCGCGAACCTTTGCCTTGCCGTTAGCAGCGGCCGCGTCCGGTGTGGCGTCAGTGCTGACGTTGGCGAGGTTGTCAGTGCTTTCTTTAAAGTCGTCTGCCGTGATGGGAATCCAGAGCTTAACATCCGTAGTCCATGCAGGTGCGTCCTTTGTGCTCGCGTTCAAAATACGCTGCAGCACGTCGTTGTCCTCGTCGCTGACGTCCTTGGCTATCCATTGGTCCTTATCCATGTCCACGGCCAGCTTCTGCTTCTCAGCATCGCCGTAGCCCTTCAAAAAGTCCTTGATCTGCATGTTGACGACGTTTTTCAAGGATGTGCCGCTGCGACCAGAGATGGCCTCGCACTCGTTGGCAAAGTGCACGTTGAGTGTGAAGTAGCGCAGGAACAGTTTGAGCGAGAGGCTCGAGCTCTGCTCCTGGCGGACGCGCAAGAGTTTGACAATCTTGTCCTGAGCCACGTCCACGGCCTGGCCAAGCAGGTTGCTGACATCGAGCGTCTTGTGGACCTCGCCCTGCACCGCCATGCCGGCGTCAGAGATGTGCTGCATCGGCCGACCGGACGGGCTAAACGGCGGCGACCTGAGGCCCTCTGGAATCTGGTCGTCGCCGACGGAGCTCGCCACATCCAGCAGCACCTTACCGTGGGTAGTGAAGCGCCGCAGCGTCTCCGTGACACCAATGTAGACCTTGACGAGCAGCTCTTCCGCGTCCTGCGGGTCGAGCGCGCGCAGATTCCTGGCAAGATTGGAGGACTTCTCGTGCTGCGACAGGTTACGTGAGCTGCCGGCTGTCGAGGATGACATGACGGACTCATTGTCGTCGTCGTTGGAGCTCGGCAGTGGCCGCCGGATCAGGCTCTTGATCTCGCGCTGCACCGCCTCTCTAAACGCTTGAACCGCCGCGGCAACGTGCTTGGCCCTGTAGAGGCCCGTGAGGACAGGCAAGAGCTCGGATCGTAGCTCGTCGGTGGACGCGAGGTACGCAGGGAACGCGGACGGCTCGCGGTTGTGGCCGCCGCGGGAGCGCATCGCGGCACTGTTCCAGCGCATCAGCACCTCCTGGCTGGAGACGGTCTCAGCGTGGTTGCGAATGTCCTTCATGAGTGCCGTGACAAACTTCGCCTCGTAGGCCTTGCCGATGCGGAAGCGGAGCGATGCAATGTCGCCACCAACGCCTTGTAAGGCTGCCGCACCGCGCAAGTCGCACAGCGCGTAGCCACCACGCGGCTGCGTCATATGCGCCTTTGGATCGTGCTCGCCGGCAATCAGTTTCTCCAGTGCGTCGATGCTGTCTAGTGCCTTGTCTACGTCGCCCGCATCAATAAGAGTGTCGCACGCGGTGACGCCACTGACAATGTCTTGCAGCTGCAGGACGGCGGCACGGAACTTTAGAGTGTTTTGCTGGCGGCGTTGCTTCTGCACAATATCGAGGCCGCGCACTGCTACCTCTTCGTCGAGACCGCCTAGCTCCGTGCGCAGCGCCTTGATCCGGTCGACAGAGTCAGCAGCCTCTGTGTGCAGCTCCTTAAGCGCCCCAAGCGCAGTAAAGAACGCCGAGGACGCCGTCGATATGGACGAAATGAGGTGCATTTCCACCGTGTCCATGTACCAAGACAGCTTTTCCTGTAGAATTTGGTTGTTGGCAAGCGTTTTCCGCGGCGCAGCCGTGCTGTTACTGGCACCGCCATTGTGCGCTGCGTCCTTGTCCTTGTCGCTCTCCGCGTCCACCGAGGTGGAGATCACCTGCGCCCGCTCGCTGACAATATCAAACGTACGCGGGTTCTCCAGGTGGAAAGATTCGTCAAAGTAGACACTGGGAATGGTGCTCAACGGTGGTGGACCAAGATTCTGACGGCGGAAGTTTGACGAGCTACGCCGTACCGGACTCGGAGCATCAACCAATGTGGCCGACGAAATCGAAGAGACCGACAGCCGTCTTGTGGACGACGTCCGGCGCGACGCGCTCGGCCGCAGGTGGCCGTCGGCCGCGCTCTCGCCAAGGTCTTCCTTGCTGCTGTTGCGCCGCGGCGTGCCAATGGTGGAGGCCAGCTGCTCGTCCTCCCGCTCTTTGGCTCGATGGAGCTGCTCGTGTAGTCTGCCGACCTGCCGCAAATACGAGGAGAACTCAGACGAGTCGACTTGCTCAATGTTCGTCAGCTTGACAGGCGGGATATCGCGCGACGTCGGCGGTTTGTGCGTGCTGTGTGCCGGGGCGGCTGTGTGCGGCTGGAAGCCAGAGCGGACGATGGGCGGCTGGAGCAGCGTGGAGATTGCTGTTGGCATCAGTCAGCGGTTCTGTCAAGACGGGTCGCGAGACAAGATAATGCCGTTTGGCTAGGAGCCCAATGCCTACCATTCTGTCCTGCCTCCTGCAGAGTGTTGGGCCAACCTCCTCCTCCCACGGCCGTGTCCAACGTGCCGCCGATGGAAGTCGTGGAACTAGCGACGGATTCTCGGCGTTGCCTGTTGTATTGTCTAACGAGTCAGCACCACTAACTTGACAGACAACCGTATATCGAACCCATCTCCTTCCCAGGGCTGCTGTATCTCACTTGTGGAAGGGAAAGTCGGCACGGTGCGTGACGCCGGCGGGCGACGTCAAGCTATCGACCGACTTGCGGCCATCGGAATTGGAGAACATGGCTCACAGGCCAGGCCTCGACACAGATCCAGAACCGGGATGCAGTCGCAAGTCGGACAATGGCATGTAGATCGGAGTCCCGGGGCCTCGCGTCCGGGGGCCTAGGGTGAGGCAACGGGAGGTGGACTTCGAATCGGCCGAATCGGCTTCGAGGCCGGCCACCCGCTTGGCTTAACAGGCGCTCTTGATGGACGGGGATGGCGTATTTTGTTGGGTTAGAATATCTCGGAGACAGTACTATGGACATTCGCTCCTGCGACTTGCGTAATGGAGCCGTTGGGTCCGGCTTGTGGGTGGTGATGTCGATGTCCGTTTCGTGCGTCGTTGGCAAGCTGGAGCTTCAGCTGCGCTGCGACTGGCCACGGCATAAGCGTGCCGTTTCGTCGTTGCCTTAGCGTACTCTGTAATAAGATGCACGTGACATCACCCAAAGTGGGCATCAAGGGGCAAGTCCGAACTAGGCTAGCGCCAAAGTGCTGTTCCTGCCCCTTGCAAGTGTCTTCAGAACAAGTCGCCCTTGCCGTATGCAACCACTTTAATTAAGACGCGTCTGGGGCAGGTACGCGACGCGTTTTTCGTGTCGCTCTAGGAAACCCCCCCTCCATCGCACTTTCTTCCTTTGCGACCACTTTCCTTAGCAGTGTACTTGCTTAATCGCCTTTCCTGCCCTATTCCTTGACCTCCTCACGTTTCTTTCTCTTCTTTTCATCCAAACGAGCGACTTCATTGCATTACATCTGCCTGGTTGCTCACGACTCATCATAACAAGCACTCACCAGCAACCACCGTCGAGATGGATCAGCAATCGGTCTACTCGACCCATGTCTACGACTACAACAACGAAAACGGCGACGACTCGCGCGTCAAGACACAAAGAGACCTCGAAGATTTTGTGCTCAAGTTCCGCCTCGACAACAACTTTGTCTACAGGTAAGCTGCTCTCCAGGTGCCGATGCTCACGTACGACACGCATGAAACCGCTGCTAACCCGACTGCCTCACAGAGACCAGCTCAAGGAGAATGCACTCCTCAAGAAATTCTACTGCGACGTCGACATTGGCGACTTGATCAAGTACAATGAAGAGCTGGCGCACCGGCTGGTGACAGAGCCCGCGGAGATCATTCCCCTAGTAAGTCGCGGCTGACGACAAGACTCAAGAACTGACAATGCCGTTTTATAATGCCTTTGCCCTGAACCCAGCTAACAGCGTCTCAAACTTAGTTCGAGAGTGCCCTCAAGCGTTGCACGCACCGAATTGTCTTCCCCCACCAGCAGAAAGTCGACTTGCCAGAACATCAGCTTCTGCTCCACTCTAGCGCTGAGGAGGTAGCCATCCGCAACCTTGACTCGCTCACAATCGCTCGCCTGGTGCGAGTCCCGGGAATTGTCATCGGCGCCTCTGTCATGTCCTCCAAGGCCACAAAGCTTGCCGTGCGATGCCGTAGCTGCGGCTTTAATCTTCCCATCAGCGTGACCGGTGGATTTAGCGGCGTGACGCTACCCCGCCAATGTGGCCGGGTGCGGACCAAGGACGACACGTCGGACAAGTGCCCGCTCGACCCATACATTGTGATGCACGAAGACTCCGAGTTTGTTGACCAGCAGGTCATTAAGCTGCAAGAGGCGCCCGACCAGGTACCTGTCGGTGAGCTGCCTCGCCATGTGCTTATCTCAGCCGACCGCTACCTCACAAACCGCGTTGTGCCCGGCTCGCGCTGCACAATCACTGGCATTTTCTCCATCTACCAGAACAAGAGCTCGACCAAAGGTGGAAGCGGAAACACAGGTGGCGCTATTGCCATTCGGACCCCGTACCTACGTGCTGTCGGTATTCAGACCGACATCGATCAGACTGCCAAGGGTAGCGCCATCTACACAGAAGAGGAAGAGCAAGAGTTCTTGGAACTGAGCCGGCGGCCTGACCTGTACAACGTCATGACCGACTGCATTGCGCCGTCGATTTACGGCAACCGTGACATTAAGAAGGCCATCCTCTGTCTTCTGATGGGCGGCTCCAAGAAGATCCTGCCGGACGGCATGAAACTGCGTGGTGACATCAACGTGCTGATGCTAGGTGATCCCGGTACAGCCAAGTCGCAGCTTCTCAAGTTTGTGGAAAAGGTCGCACCGATTGCCATCTACACATCCGGCAAGGGCTCGTCCGCAGCAGGTTTGACGGCCTCGGTGCAGCGTGAGCAGTCGACGCGCGAATTCTACCTGGAAGGTGGTGCCATGGTGCTTGCCGACGGCGGTGTGGTCTGTATTGACGAGTTCGACAAGATGCGCGACGAGGACCGTGTGGCAATCCACGAAGCCATGGAGCAGCAGACCATCTCTATTGCTAAGGCTGGTATCACGACCATTCTCAACGCCCGGACATCCGTGCTGGCAGCGGCCAACCCCATCTTTGGTCGTTACGACGACATGAAAACTCCCGGCGAGAACATTGACTTTCAGACGACGATTCTGTCGCGTTTTGACATGATCTTTATTGTCAAGGACGAGCATGAGCGTGGCAAGGACGAGCGTATGGCCAAGCACGTCATGGGCATTCATATGGGTGGCCGGGGCGTGGAGGACCAGACCGAGTCTGAGATCCCCGTGGAGAAGCTGCGGCGGTACATTAGCTACTGCAAAACGTGAGTCCCCCCATTGGTGTTTACAGATTTTCAAGGGAAGTGAAACGAAAAACACTAACGTAGCATTATAGACGCTGTGCCCCTAGACTGAGTGCCGAGGCAGCCGAGAAGCTGTCGTCCCACTTCGTGTCAATTCGTCGGCAGGTGCACGCGGCCGAGCTCGAGGCGAACGCGCGGTCGAGCATTCCGATCACCGTTCGTCAGCTGGAGGCTATTGTGCGCATCACGGAGTCGCTGGCCAAGCTGACACTGTCGCCGATTGCGACCGAGCAGCACGTCGACGAGGCCATTCGTCTGTTCCTATGCTCGACTATGGATGCCGTCAACCAGGGCAGCCAGACGGGCATGGGCGCCAGCAACAACGGCGGCGGGTCGGGCATTTCGTCGGGTGCTGGTGCTGGTGGTGCGGCGGCCCGTGAGCTGTACCAGGAGGCGTCGCGCGTGGAGGCGGAGCTGAAGCGGCGTCTGCCGATCGGCTGGAGCACTAGCTTGGCCACGCTGCGACGAGAAATGGTTGAGGTTCGCGGATTCAGTGAGCAGGCCCTCAACCGGGCACTCATGCTGCTGCAACGGCGCGACACGATTATGTTCCGCAACCAGGGTGCGCAAGTGTACCGGAACGGTGCATAGGGCCAGTTGCAATGGACCTCTTTTCTTTCTTGCGTCAGTTTTGCAAATCTTCATGGTAGTTTGGGTCTGGGATATCTTGTCGCTGGTTTTATTTTATGGCGTCATGTTTTATAATGATTATACAGATACACTTGCATTGGCTGTTGGGCATTGATTATGTACATGATGAGGATTGATGGGAAAGGATGAGAAAGGTTGTGGGAAATTGTTGTCAGCTGTACGGACCATGTGGCATGATATAATAGTACGAATGACAGGCTAAAGGTTTTGCGCTGCTACGACACATGGTCGAGTTGATTCCAAAGTAAAGAGATCCGCCACATCAGGATATGTCGTGCGTCACGATCTATCTGTCTACACTATTGGTCAACGCCCGTTCGTAATAATGGGCTTGCTCCGGTCCGGCCTTGCTATTCAACTTTCATTGTTCTCATACGCCTTCATCTGCACACGCAATTGTAATTGATTGCCTTAGACATACGCCAGCGTGTTGTCGTCCCGGATGGCGCCGATGACGCCCAGAGCAGCCTCGTTGCCCACAACAGACGGGCCGCGAATGATAATCTGTAGAAAAGACGTTAGCTTCCGCGCTTTACCCGAGTTCTGCATACATATATTCATTACTTGGATGTTAACGTACCTCGCCTTCGAGCTTATCATCAGTCACTTCGTTCTGACCCTTGCTGCGCACTAGGTATTCGGTGCTCGTTAAAGGAGAGCCGAAGGGCGCATACTTGCCGGGGGCCACACGGTAGTCGTAAAAGGCTGTCTGGGCCGCGGCACCGGCCACCTTGGCACTGGCCAGCGCGTAGATGACGCGCGCGCCCGTGAAGATGCGCAGATTAGACAGGACGGTGGCCGAAAGGGCGGGCGTACCGGCAGCCGCGCGCTCGGCCACGTATAACAGCCGCAGCTTGCCGGGGGTCTTCCCGACAGCGGGGCGCACGCTGTCGAAAAAGCGGCTGACAAAAGAGGTAGCAGCGGGGATGACGCCGCCCTCGGTCAGAGCGCGCGTTTGCCATTTAAGGAAAAACGACGCAAAGGCACCGTTGCCCAGGAGGCGGACAGACTCGTCGTGGGTGGCAAGCACGGAGGACGGCGTGGCCACCACAATCGTGGGCGCAGTGCCACGGGTCGCCATGGAAAGATCGGCGGCGCGGGGCGCGACGCTGTTGAACACGACCGAGGCATTGGAGTAGAGCGCGGCAAGGGTCAGGACGAGAGTGTGCGTGTGAGTGAGAGAGTCGGCAGGCAGAAACAGGTCCGAAGGCCCAACACGCTGCGCAGAGGGCACGGCGAACAGCTGCGCGGCAACGGCGGACACAAGGTTGTCGCTGGTGAAGCGGACCATCTCCTCGATGCCCGACGCGGCGGCGCTCGAGCTGGCGCCATTCTCGTCGCGAAAGGGCTCCCAGAAAATGGTGACGTCGCGCGGCTGCGACTGGCCCTCGAGCACCGGCAGCTCGCGGCCAGCGGCCTGCGGCGCATCGTTGACGACGTCCTGCCAGGTGGACACGTTGACACTGCCGCCCGTGCCCTCGGGCACCTCGTTCCAGTCAAGGTGGGCGCTGCCCTCGTCGACGACCCAGATCAGCTGGCGCAGGGCTGGGTAGCTCTGGACGACAGTGTCAAAGGGAAAGCAGCCAGGAGCAGTGATGACGGTATCGGCGGCGGAGCGGCGGAGCATCGACACCAGCACAGCGTCGTCCTTCTGGTCAAAAGGCAGCAGGATGGCGGTCATGTTGTAGAAGCTACAGGCGAACAGGCTGGCGAGGAACTCGACTGAGTTGGGCAGGTAGATGGCGACGCGCGCACCGCCCTGGTCGAGGATGTGCTGGCCAATGAGGTTGATCTGGCGGGTGACGTCTTCGAGCGACGTCTCGACGACGCTATCGGTGCCGAACGAGGTCAGGATGCGGCCACGGGCGCCCACAACAGGCTTCGGGACAGCCGACGCCGCGGGAACAGCAGGGCCCGAGGGAGCGTCACTCTCCGGGACGCCGCCAACAGCGCGCCGCCAGATGTCGCGCAGGTCGCCGTCGCGGCCCTTGGCCCACTTGGACACGCCGGGGTCGCGCACGTCGAGGCCGGTGTTCAGCGGCATGCCGTGCGGGGCGCTGCGCGAGCGGTAGACGGGCGACTCGCCCTCCTGGCGCACGGGCGAGCCTTGAGCCTGGCGAGCAAGGAGCATGGGGTGAGTGTCGGGCTCCGTGCGTGTGTACAAGTGGAAGGTGACGATGCCGATGAGTAGCGTGACGAGGACAGTGGAGTAGATGTTCCACTGGCCGAAGAGGCCGGTGACGCCCTCGTCGAAGCGCCACATGGCGCTGTTGAAGCTCATGTTGAGGAGTGGTGGTGGTGGTGGTGGTGGTGGTGGTGGTGTTGATGTTTCGGGTGCGGTATTGTTTTTACTGTATTGGTTCCCTCGCGTCTTGTCGTTCGTTCCTTCTATTCCCAGAACCGCGGCCGGGTAGCGGTTATCGGGAGTTGGCCCGATCAGGAAGGCGACAAGCTCTCACGGCAATACGGAAAAGACGGGGTCGAACAGACAATCGACGCAGATGGCGTATCTGCTCTCGAGGTGGAAAGAGAACAGAAGCGAGCAACAGGGAGAACCTCGAACCCGGAGGAGGGGAAAACAACTGAACGTTGGGCGAAACCAAGCGAAACATGCACGCACCACAGCGAAGATGCTCCGCTATCCAGCCATTTTATTTAATTCACTACCCGCTGGAGTGGGGGAAGGTGCCATGGGGCTGCGCAGCGGGCAGCAACCCAAGGAAATCGGGCAGGCGGACGGTGCTCTGGGTGCTTCCTTCCCTAGCGTGGCACCATGGCTCCCTGTGGTGGTGCTACTTGGGCCGCAGGGGAAATGGGCCTCGACTGGCCAATCAGAAGGACGAGCTATGTTTGCAGTGTCTGATGCAGAGACCATCGCTACAACGCTGCCAGAATGCTTTACGAGACGAGGAATAAACAACAACAACACGAAGCGACCGTTCACATCAGCAACGACACGCCGACCGCACCGGCGCCGGCGACGAGATACTAACCATAGCAGCTGTAGGTACTTTACTCGAACGCCCCTTTGTCGACATTACATTTCCTTTGGCAACGTTGTCCGTTCCTCATCGACATTTCTCGACTCCCTACCTTTGTATTCTTTTCGCGTCCACGACGACGTCCACCAAACTCAGCAGTTGAGAGAGGGGAGGCGAGAGAAGCAACGATACATAAAGGATTAGACGAGGCACCCTATGCGCTTGGCACAATGGCGTTCCGGGCAGTAGCAACGCAGTCACAAGGGATGCAGACGCCGCAACGACAAGTGGCGGCGACCGCGGCAGGAGGAGCGGCAGCAAAGGCTACGCCATCAAGGGCTGCGCCATCGACGCCAATCTTGACCGACAGTCCAGGAAACTGGCGGCACCCGCGCATGGACGAGATCACCCGGCGACGGGCAGCTACCGTGTTCACCGAGACGAACCTCAAGACGTTTGTCTACAATGTGTTGGCGCTGGTCGTTGTGTTCCTGGTGGGCAATGCCTCGGGGATGCCTTTCACGCAGCTGCGGAGATTGTATGGTTTCCCATTGTCTCTTCCGCGTTCTGTGCTGGATTCTTGTTACTGACCTATTAGTGGCCACACCGTTCTTCCTCAGCAGTACAGCAGCCTGCTGGTGACAGTCATTAACACTGCCCTGCTCATCAACATGGCGCGCTCTCTGCTGCCGCTCTTCCGCAAACCCGACACCATATCCGACATTCCATTAACGCCCGGCCAGCGCAAGCTACTGGGTCTGCCGGCCCTCAAAACGTCAGCCACGCCCAATGCCGTCTACACGACGCCGCCGCGGTACACTCGCACGCCGTCGGTTTCGGGCTCGGCTGCGAGCATTGCTGCCGCCACGCATGGCAGCGGCAAGAGCACCGAGGCCAGCTTCAGCAAGAGCTTCACCGGCTCGCCCATCTCGGGCAGCCCGCTGTTCGCCAAGGCTCGGCCCGCTAACGGCGGCCCTTCCAGTGGCAGCCGCAGCGGCTCGCCCTTCTCGCCGTCCAGCCCGTTCCAGAACACACGTAAGGCGTCTTTTGGCTCGCCGGGCACCCTGGGCGGCTCGGCAAATGTGGCGCCGGGTGCGGGTTCCCTCTTTTCTGACTCGGCAATGTCGAGCATACCCGGCACGCCGAGCCCGACTGGCAAGCGGCTCAGCATGGGTCTGAACAACAAGTGGCTGTATGAGAAGGGACGGCGCACTTCCGGCGGCTCACGACTGTACTAAGTGTGCACTACGGGGAAGGAGAGAAATGTCCGGCGCTAGAGAGACGATGTGGCAAAGGAGAAAGAACAAAAGCAAAAACAACTGCGTTTGGCTGTCGTCGATGATGCCAAGGAGGGAGGCCGAGATCCACTCCTCCGTGATGGGACACGATGATACCAGGGTAATAAGGTTTGTAACACAAGCGGCCCTGTGCAATGTATGAATAAAGGCATGATAGGTAGAGTTGGTTTGATTAATGTCAGCGTCTATGAGCGTAATAATCTCGGAATATTTACAGTTGAGTGTTTAAGCTCTGGCACTGCGAATTGCAGTGTCACTGGGACCCGCCAAAAATATAGCGACCCACTGCCGTCTACAGCGCCCGTTGAACTCTGGGACGCCTAACAAGGTCGCTGAATTTGGTGCCTTTAGGCCGGTAGTGACTTCCTAAAGCTGTGACGTAGCGTAGTGTTCCCGAAGCGGTAGCAGCTAACGGGCAAAAGTGTACGCAGGACATTCTCGTCGTGTTCTCAAAACACACTCTCCGCACTTCACACCTCCAGTTCATCCACCGACGGTACACCCTCCGCATCGGGTGCAAAACAAGGACCGCACATCGACACGCCTCCCATTTCGACCACACCCGACTCGCCTCGGACAACTCGGTGCATCCTTGTTGACCGCCTTAGCCCCCTTCCCTGCCGCCACCATGGGCGCCAGCGATTCGAAGCTGGTCTTCAAGAAAGGCATCTTCCGTCTTTCGGAGGAACGCAACATCCGCGCCGACGATCCCTACTGGACGTCATTTTGGGAGCTGCCCGAGTCGCCCGAGGATGTCTTCAGTCTCTTCTCGCCCGCCGACATTCGCCGGACCCGCGATTCCGCCCTCGAGAACCTCGAAACGCTGCTACTTGCCGTCACATCACGGCTCTTTTCATTGCGGCACCACCCGTCCTTCCCAGAGCAGGACATCGCCCCAGAGCGCGATCTTCTCAACTGCGTCCGTGTCCTGACACGTGTGCTGCCCTACATTTACGAGCGCGAGTCGCTGCAGGCCTGGGAAGAGCGTTTCTTTTGGTCCGTGCGGCGGAAACGATCACGCTCGGCTGCATCTGCCGGCGAGGTGCTCTTTGACGAAGCCGATACTGCCGACCAGAACGGCGACGATGGCAGTGACAGGGCTGCACCACAGGACGGCTTTGAAGAGGCCAAACCGCTCGCCGAAGAGCTCATCGACACACTGATCGACCTGCTCTTCTTCTCCGGCTTCACCGTCGCACGCCAGCCACCGGGCAAGCCGCGCGTCAGCTACACAATCTGGCAGAGCGGTGTCGGCTGCAACACGACGGTGCCGACAACCAAGGAGTCGGAGAGCAACCGCTGCGAGCTTCTGCGCCTGCTGTTGACGCTCTCAAGCTCCAGCCTATACCGGCCTGCAGGTGCCTTGCCGGCCCATGGCGTACGGTCTCTGACGTACATCTGCACATGCCCCGACAAGCAAGTTGTACTATCTGTTCTGTGCTCATTGCTGAATACAGTATGTCCTTTCTCTCCTTTTTAAGGGGTTAGTATTGCCTGCTATCTGGCTCTCTTCCTTTATACTAATTGCTTTTCAGACCGTTAAGTACAACCCCGCGAGCTGGCGTGTCCCATACAACAACCTCGTCTTCAAGGACCCAAAGCAGATCCTCGTCACCTACAGCCTGCACTTCCTCCTTGTGGTTCTCCTATATCCCATCCCACCCGACCCAGTGACCGGCTCCATCTCCAAGAACTACTACCGCCACTTCCTCGGCCGCCTGCACCGCCCGACCGATTTCCAGTTCATTGTGGACGGCATGACCCGCATTCTTAACCAGCCGCTGCAGGCCACCACATCCTACATCCCCGGCACACAGTCATCCGTCAAGTTTGCGCCCGAGATCATCATGCTGTTCTGGGAGATCACGCAGTGCAATAAGCGCTTCCGGTCCTTCATTATCGATACGCAGCGAGCCCACGACTTTGTGATTCTCATCCTCTTCTACGCTCTCGAGTGCAAGAACGACAGCACACGCCAGGGCGTCGTCCGCATGTGTGCTTTTTTGCTGCAGACCATGAGCGTCGAAAAGAACTTTGGCATCAACCTCAACAAGACGTTCGATACCCAGGACACCCTCCCGCCGGCCATCCGCATCCAAAACTTCCGCGGCACCTATGCCGACTTCCTCATCCAGTCTATTTACAGCCTCATCACAGCGAGCCAGAGCCGTCTGACAGCCATCTACCCAGCTCTTCTGGCTGTCATTAACAACATTGCCGCCTATGTCGAGGGTCTAAGCGCGCGGACGAGCTCGCGCCTGATTCAGCTGTTCAGCTCCATGTCGTCGCCGTCGTTCCTCCTGGCCAACGACAGCAACCACAATCTACTCTGCTCTCTATTGGAGGCTCTGAATGCGACCATTGAGCACCAATATTCGAGTATGTACATTTCTAGTGTAGCAACAACGCGGGCAGTAAGAGATGAAAGATACTAACAGTAGGGCCAGAAAACCCCCAGCTTGTATATACCATTGTCCGGAATCGGAAGCGTTTCGAGGCGCTTCGCAATCTCACACTCGACAGTGGTCGGGAGGAGATTGAGCGCCGCATGCAACGCCGCAAAGACTCGGGCGCTACTAGTGACGAGCCAGCGGAACTCGGATCGAGACGCAGTTCCGTAGACAGCCTGCGGAGCCCAACAACATCGCACCACGGCCAGCAACACGCGCGACCGTCCCAGGCGCTAAGCGACGTGGCGGAAGATGACGCATTTGCTATTGGCGGTGACGATGACGAAGACGAAAGCGATGACGACGAACCCCGGCCCACGCCGTCACAGTCCAGTCCCAGCGAGAACCCATCACGCGCGTCGCCGGCCGTGTCTGTTGAAGACGCCGTGCCAACCCAGGTGCGCGGCATGTCGGAAAAGGCACGTGGGAAGATGCCTGCGGGCGCCGGCCCTTTCAGCTTTTCACGGCAAAATAGCACCACAAGCCTGGGAAGCGGCTCCGCGCACGGCGGCAGCAGCGATAACAACCTGGCCGGAAGTGGGCGCCTCGATGGCCTGGGCGGCGGCGGAAGTGGTACTGGCGGGTTGGGAGGCAGCGGCCACGGGTTTGAGCCGACAGTCCAGTGGTTCGAGAGCTGGCTGCCTGAGCTGCCGCTGCACACGATCCTGGCCGTGATGCAGCAGATATCGGCTCTGATTCCGCGGGACGAACTGGCCGTCGACTATCCTTCACCGGACACGTTGCAGCGCATCCAGGATGTACACCTCGCGGGTATCGAGCCCTCGACGATCCGCGTGCACTCGTTTGAGTGGTCGGCGCTGGCGCTGGGCTGGTACGAGTCCATGCTGTGGAGCTTCATCTTCAGCAGCGAAATGCAGGTCGCCAAGGGCACCGTTGTGGGCGTGTGGAACAGCACGGCTATCAAGCTGTTCCGTGTCCAGGAGGCAGCGGCACAGGGGCCTTCGTTGACTTCGCCACGAGGTGCTGTCGACGCCGTGGGTAGCAACATTGTGTCGAGGATCGGCCAGATCAACCTCCGCGGCAGCAATGCAGCCGGTGTGGCCCTCGGATCCGCTGCCGGTGGTGGTGCAGCTGGCGGTAGTGCGAACCACGACGCTGGCAACGCAACTAGAAACCCTCCGGCAACCAACAATCCAACACCGCCGAGTTCGTAGATGTTTACAGAGTTTGGTTGGTATTACAGTTCATAGTTGCTCCAGAACTTTTTTTTTGGGGGGGGGGTTTATTTTCTAGCCTATTCTACTTGCTGTTTCCTCACGATTCGACGTTTTCCCACCATTCCGCTAGCAGTCTTGTTCAATGAATTCTACCTATTTCTCATTACACGCATTTGGTATTTGGCGAGTTTATCGCAAGTATTAAGAAATACGTGCTAACCCGATATGGCAATGTTACTGCCTTTGTGAATTAAAGTGGGTCCAGGCTCGCGGCGCGCAAACCAAAAGGTGTTCCTTGCGTTTGGCGACATTCTGGAAGGACACGACTTCACCTCCAGCAACTACAACGACAGAGGCCGGCCCCGACACAACAAACGGCCGATTTTATCTCGGGTTGCGGACGATTCGCAGCGACCTATAAAGACACAATTGCTGCCTGCCTCTCCCATACTCCTTGGCACCTCCGACCTCGCTCGATCACTCGACACCCTCCATCCTCCTCGTCACGATGCATTCTTCCCTCGTTCGCCTCCAGAATGTCTTTGGCTTCTTCACGACGGTTGTGACGGTTATCGCCTGTCTGATTGCCGTGACAGATCTGCTGCATGCGCGCACACCAAGTGCGACCGTGCGGCCAGCCGGTCTGCAAGTGTGAGTGCGCTTCATGTTACCCGACTGCCTAATTCCTTGGTTCCTTGCTGCCTTGATGGACCGTCGCACTGACAGCCACCCAGAGTCCGCGGCCGTCCGCACTACTACAGCAAGAAGAAGGAGGAGTACGCCGTCGTGCGCTTCCACCTGGACGCCGACCTGTCGTCGCTCTTCACTTGGAACACGAAGCAGGTCTTTGTCTATGTCACGGCCGAATGGGGCGATGAGCACGCCAACGCCACCGAGGCCACCAACACCGCCGTCATCTGGGACAAGATCATCACGAGCCCCAGCTCCGACCACCTGGCCAACATTGGTCCCGTCGCGATGCGCAAACTGCGCAAGAGCTCCGAGGGCAAGGCCATCGACCCGAGCCGGTAGGTTTCGGTATTCCTGTCCGCCCCCTGATTATTTGGATCACACCAAGCCTAACCCTTCCAGCGGCATTCTGCACCTCAAGAACCAGAAGCCCAAGTACCAGATCACGCACCCCAGCGGCAAGATCGCCGAGACCGAGCAGGTGCGCCTGCGCGTGCACTACAACGTGCAACCTTGGGTCGGCATGCTCTCGTGGAACCAGTACAGCGGCGACGGAAGCATCAGCAGCTGGCTCCTTCCGCAGCGCGGCGGCGCCGGTTCGCCGCTGTGGCAGCCGCTGGCCGGTGGTGAGAGCAAGGCGTTTGAGCTGCCGGCCGTCGGCGCCAGCGGCAGCGCAAGCAAGAAGGCCAAGGCGGCCGAGAGTTCGGTGTAGTCTGGATCACTCTAACTTTCTGTCATGTCACATGTGAGCGGTGGAAATCGCATCTGTATTGTATCTTTGTCGTTTGTTTTAAATTTCAAAAAAATGCTCGCATTTTGCTCCAATGCGAGAGTCCGTCATTTGCTCAATGTGCTATATGCCTGTTCTGTGTCCATATATGCCTGTACTACTGTACCAGACCACTTTCCGTGTCTCTAGAGTGTCCCGTTGTGACGTATTTCGTTGATGTCGACTTCGACATTGTCCAAGGTCTGTTGACTCGCCCATTGAACTCGCGCCCTCTTCCAAAGCCCAATACAATGCATGTTGCATGTTGTACATTAGTGCGTTCAGTGGCCGCTTCCAGGCGTAGTCTCCCACTGTTGGTTGACGGCCCCTCGTTTTTCCGGAACCGGCCCAACCCCACTACTGCGCCTTGTTGCTCTAGCAGGCGGCAGGGGCGAGTCGCAGGGCCTGCAGCCGCCTGCCACAGGCACCGTTGACGCATCTGCCTTGTCTTCGTTGCGGCGCATCGCCAAAACACAATCACAAACTTCCACCGTCAGCCTCACTTCTTCCCTTTCTCCTTTCTCCTCTCCCCTTCCCTCCTTTCCACCCCCCTCCCCCCCTCCACCTCTTTTCTCCGCCTTCCTCGCTGCTTAGCTTCAGCATCTATCCCTACGGTCACAGCGACCGCCCTTCATCGTTTACGCAGAACCGACGACGCGCAGATCTGTGACTGAGACTCGACTTTTAGTTGTCTCCGTCCCCTCCGTCTTCCTTCTCCGTTTACCCCCCTTCAACCTACTCAGACATCATGGGTGTCCCCAAGTTCTTCCGATGGCTCTCGGAGCGGTATCCGGCCATCTCACAGCTGATTGCCGAGAACCGCATCCCCGAGTTCGACTGCCTCTACCTCGACATGAACGGCATCATCCACAACTGCACGCACAGCGACTCGGACGACGCGATGACCCGCCTGAGCGAAGAAGAAATGTTTATACGCATCTTCAATTACATAGAGCACCTGTTTGGCAAAATCAAGCCCAAGCAGATGTTCTTCATGGCCATCGACGGCGTGGCCCCCCGCGCCAAGATGAACCAGCAGCGCTCGCGTCGTTTCCGCACGGCCCTCGACGCCGAGAACATGCGCAAAAAGGCCATTGCCGAGGGCCAGCAGATGCCTGCCGAAGATCCCTTTGACAGCAACTGCATCACCCCGGGCACCGCCTTCATGGCCAAGCTGTCCACCCAGCTCAAGTACTTTGTCAACAAGAAAGTCAGCGAGGACAAGGAGTGGCAGCAGTGCAAGGTCGTGCTGTCGGGCCACGACGTCCCCGGCGAGGGCGAGCACAAGATTATGGAGTACATCCGGAACGCCAAGGCGCAAAAGGACTACAACCACAACATGCGGCACTGTCTGTACGGCCTCGACGCTGATCTGATCATGCTGGGTCTGCTGAGCCACGACCCGCACTTCTGCCTCCTGCGCGAGGAGGTCACCTTTGGTCGCCAGAACAAGACCAAGTCCAAGGAGCTGGAGCACCAGAACTTTTACCTGATGCATCTCTGCATTGTACGCGAATACCTCGAGCTCGAATTCCAGGAGCTCAAGACTGAGGGGCTCATGAAGTTCCCCTTCAACTTGGAGCGCATCATTGACGACTTCATTCTCATGGCATTTTTTGTCGGAAACGACTTTTTGCCCAATCTGCCGCGCCTTCACATCAACGAGGGTGCTCTGGCAACCATGTTCACATTATATAAGCGCGTGCTGCCACAGTGCGAGGGCTACATCAACGAGGGCGGCAGCGTCAACGTGGAGCGCCTCGGCAAGCTGCTCGCAGAGCTCTCCAAGGAGGAGTTCCGCTTTTTCGAGCACGAGATCGAGGGCGAGAAGTGGTACCAGGCGAAGCTGATGAGTCACGCGCCGGCGGGCGAGGGACTCACCATCGCCGTCGACAAGAAGAAGCGCGGTGGCCGCAACCACGGCAGCAGCACCAACGGGACGCCGAGCAGCAGCAACACCAACAGCTTTGCCCCCACGCCCACGCCGCAGTCCACCGCCGCCGCCGCCGCTGCCGCCAACAAGGGCAAGATCCAGCTGTCCAACTTCCAGAAGGAGCTCTGGAAGTCCAAGATCCGTAAGTTTGTCAGCAAGCCGACAGCAACGCCCCTGGATCTGGGCGCCGATCTCAAGGCGGACGACCGCAAGTTCGTCCAGGACCTGGCCGACAGTCTGAGAATTGACTGGCGGACCGACGAGGATGGCGAGGGCAACCGCCGCTTGGTCCTCTCTTTCCCCGCCGACCGTGTGTCCAATAAAAATGGACAGAACGAGGACGACGAGGAAGAGGAAGAGGCGCAGCTGGCCCTCTTCCGTGTCATGAAGAAATACGACACGGCCGACGTCGTCGACGTCTTTGCCGGCGAGAGCCAGGAGGCCCTCGACAAGCTGTACATGCTCAAATTCCAGCAGTGGAAAGACGCCTACTACAAGGACAAGTTCCACTGGTCCGACGCCGAGCTGAGCAGCGAGGTTCGCAAGATCTGCGAAAACTACGTCCAAGGCCTGCAATGGGTCCTGTTCTACTACTACCGAGGCATTGCCTCGTGGCCGTGGTTCTACCAATACCACTACTCGCCCCTGATTTCCGACGTCATCAAGGGCCTGGGCGCCGACCTCAACTTCAAGCTCGGCCAGCCCTTCCGCCCCTTTGAGCAGCTCATGGGCGTGCTGCCGGACCGCAGTAAGAGCATTGTGCCCACAGTCTACTGGGGCCTGATGACAGACGAGAACTCGCCCATCATCGATTTCTACCCGCGCGACTTTGAGCTTGACATGAACGGCAAGAAGATGGAGTGGGAGGCCGTCGTCAAGATTCCCTTCATCGACGAGCGCCGATTGCTGGACGCCATGGCGCCCAAAAACGACCTTCTCTCGGACGAAGAAAAGGCCCGCAACGAGTTTGGCGTGCCCATTGAGTTTGCCTTCCAGCCCGACACCGACTTTGTCTACCTGTCGCCGCTGACGGGCATATTTCCGGACGTCACGCACTGCCGCTGCGTCATGAACATCTTTGACCTGCCGCCCACGGAGGGCCTCGAGTACCTGCACGACCTGACAGACGGCGCGCTGCTCAACGCGTCGGCCCTCGCAGGCTTCCCCAGTCTGCACACGCTGCCCTACCACGCGTCCCTCGGCTTCCACGCCGTCAACGTGTTCCAGCAGGACAGCCGCAACGCCAGCATGGTCGTCACCCTGTCCGACTCGGAGGCGCGCACCAACATTGAGGCGGCCAAGCGTAAGCTCGGCCAGCGCTGCCACGTTGGCTACCCGTTCTTGCAGGAGGCCAAGGTTGTGCGCGTGTCGGACGAGCTCTTCAGCTACACGCTCGACGACAAGGGTGCCGTGGTGCAGACACCGCACGGCGGCCGTGAGCTCGACCGCTGGTCGTCCAAGGCACGCAGCATCGAGGAATTTTACAGCAAGCGCCTGGCCATTCTGACGGGCACCGTCGAGTCGCTCGTGCACGTGCACATGCTCAAGGGCCTGATCAAGACCGACGACGGTGCCACGATCAAGGAGTACGGCGAGGTGCTCTCCATGGAGACCGACTTTGCCACACAGGTGATTGTCGATGCCGTCGTCAATGAGGACGAGCGCTTCATTGAGCGCGCCGCCGTGCCCATCTCCGAGGAGTTCCCTGTCGGATCGCACGCCTTCTACCTGGGCGACTACGCCTACGGCCGTCCGCTTGGCGTGGTCGGCCACAAGGGCAACCGCATGGACGTCATGGTGTCTGTCCTCAAAGACAAGGAGAACGACTTTGCGCACGGCATTGTTGCCCGCGCCGATCGCACCCACCGCTACACGCCGTCGTACGCGGTGGCCAAGTCCCTGGACCTGCACCCGCTGTCGCTGAGCAAGATCACGTCGTCCTTTTTCGTGTTTTCTGTCGGCAACCTCAAGGTCAACCTGGGCCTGAACCTCAAGTTTGAGGCCAAGAAGCAGAAGGTGCTGGGCTTCTCGCGCAAGTCGGGCACTGGCTGGGAGTTTAGTTCCCCGGCCATCCAGCTCATTGCCAACTACATGGTGGCGTTCCCCGACTTCTTCGCCGGCCTCAAGCACCTGCCGCAGAACCGCGACATTAAAGACACGGACATCTGGCCGGACCAGGCGCTGGCATCAAAGCGCGTCAAGGAGATTGGCGCGTGGCTCAAGACGCAGGAGACGAGCAAGCTCGAGCGCGTCCCGCTGGACGCCGAGCAGCTCGACTCGGACATTGTGGGCCAGATCGCCGCGGCTGCCGACGACTCATCTGCCGCCACAGCCCCCACCGAGACGAAGCCTATCAAGAATGTCCCTCGCAACGCGGTGCTGAAACCCGCCGACGCCGAGCAGCGGCTGGGCAACCAGAGCTTTGCGCTCGGCGACCGGGTCGTCTACGTGCAGGACTCGGGCAAGGTGCCCATTGCCCTGCGCGGCACCGTAGTGGGCATCAGCCGCACGCCCACCACGAAACTGCTGGACGTTGTGTTTGATACAACGTTTATGAGCGGCACCACGCTCGGCGAGCGTTGCCCGCCGTTCCGTGGCCAGATGGTGACGGCATCGTCGGTTCTCAACCTGTCTAACCGCCAGGTCGTCGCCGGCTCGCGCGCGGCCATTGAGCGCAAGCCGAATGCCTCGCTGACGACACTGACGACGCCGACGACCGGCTCCGGTGGCAGCGGTGGTCAGCAGAATGGCCCGAACGGCCACGGTTTCCGGCAGTACCGTGATGCAGCACCGCCTGCCCCTCTGCGCGGGTCGTTTCGCGGCGCTCTGAACGGCAGTAACAATGGCCGTGGGCGCGGCAATGGCAGCCAGCAGCAGCAGCAGCAGTCGCGCGCGGGACCGCGCCCCGGCACGACCCTCGAACATAGCAGCCTCGTGTACCGCCCCGGTGGACAAGGACAAGGACAGGGACAGGGACAGCAGCCACAACAGCAGCAGGCCAACGGCCGCGGTGGCCGCGGCGGTCGGGGCGGCCGTGGTGGCCGTGGTGGCAATAGCCACAGCAACGGCGACGGCCAGCAGCAAACCGCGGCTGCGCAGTCGTTCAACGCCGTGCCGCCGCCGGCCAACCTCGAGGCCCATCGTGGAGGTCGGGGTCGTGGCCGTGGCCGGGGTCGTGGTGGCCGCGGCAATGCCGCCGGCGGCCGTGGCGGCAACGGTGCGGGCCAGCAGCCAACCAAGAACGGCGGCGGCAACAGTTCCAATGCCGCTGCTCCTGCTCCGTCAGCGGCGTAAATCGCTCTCATCAAGGCCACATCGCCAACTAGGCAGACCAATGCGGGACAAACCCCGTCTGGGTGTTTTATACATTTGGTTGTTTGGTGTATTTCTGCCATTTGCTCTTGTCACATTTTGGCCTCTGTTTTGTTTTCCTACCATTGTGTCTTTTTCACCTTATACCGGAACAAAAGCGCTGGAGTCATGTGGATGTTCATGAAATGGAGGGAGCAATCTACCGGCTCCTTTTTGGGTTTATGCTCAAATATTGTCTCATGGATTTTATGTACAAATATAGTAACATATAGGAAAATGGCGAGCCGATCATGAAAGCAGCATTGACGGGGGAGAACGTGTTTTGACGAGGACAACTGAGGCCATGTACGACGTGATACTTGTGTGAATGTCGATTGGCGTAGAAACAGCCAATCAGGAGCTGTGCTGCGAGAGCTTGAGCTGTATGTCATATCACCGTGTGAAGTAGCTGGTGTACTTGTATGTACGTGTTCTGCCGCCCTTCACCGCCCGTCGTGCACTTTACGCGACTTTTAACGTGGGAAGGAGCAACACCCGGCTGGAAGAGGTTTTGGCGCCGAGCGCGGGTTCATCTGAGGGTCAGTCGCGGTTTCCCTACCTAAGCTTTTTTGGCGTGTTTTCCTTTGCTGTCCCCCCCCTCTCAGCCTGCCTTCTTGTGTTCGCTCTTTCCCTACCAATTCGCTTCACCAACCTTCCCCTGACCGGATCTCAAGATCTTGCCCAACTCCTCGACACGATCGATTTGGCATTCATCATATTTGCAACCTTGACAAACGACATTCTGCCTCTCCCTGTCTGCAACCGACCTACCAGCCTTTTTTATCATCCCAAGAAACTTCTTTGGTCACAAACATGGGCCCCCAAGGCGCACAGGTCTCAGATGACGTGGATGGTGAGTTGCTGTGGAAAAGAAGAGCGTTACTGTCTCTTTCTTTTACAAACGGACGGTGGCAGAGGAAAATACGATGCTAACAGTTGGTTTCGCACTCATAGTGGACATGCAGAACGACGAGGGCATCAGCATTGATCAGGAGCAGCGGGTGATCAACGAAGGTATGTCGAGGCACACGAAGCAATGGGGAGAAATTGCAATCTGCGTGGGGCGGAGAGAGGTTGAGGAAAAACTGAGGATATGAGGTGCGAGGATCACGGCGGCCTGGACTAACGAGGCGTGCTTTTGCAGAGTACAAGACATGGAAGAAGAACAGCCCATTCCTTTACGACATGATCCTGAGGTAGGTTCTTGCGAAATTGTCCCCCCCCTTCCCCACCTAATCTTACCACATCTAACCCGACTCCAGCAATGCTCTGCCATGGCCGACTCTGACGACACAGTGGTTTCCCGACGTCAAGGTGCTCGAGGAGAAGAAGTCGCGTGTCTACCGGTTGTTGCTCGGCACGCACACGTCCGAGGACCTGCCCAATTACCTGCAGATCGCTGAGGTCTCGATCCCGATGCTGAGCGAGCCAAACGTGAACGACTATGACGAGGAGCGCGGCGAGATTGGCGGCTACGGCAACAAGGGCTCCAGCGGAGCCAACAGCGGCAGCGGCAGCGGCAGCGGCAGCGGCAGCAACTGCACAGGCGGCAGCAACGGTGCGGCACCGTCCATCAGCTTCAACATTGTCCAGCGCATCGACCACCCGCAGGAGGTCAACAAGGCGCGCTACCAGCCGCAGAACCCGGACATTCTGGCGACGCTCTGCGTCGACGGCCGCGTCCTCATCTTCGACCGCACCAAGCACAGCTTGACGCCCTCGGGCACCGTGAACCCGCAGTTTGAGCTGGTAGGCCACAAGCAGGAGGGCTTTGGCCTGGCGTGGAACCCACACGAGGCCGGCTGCCTGGCGTCCGGCAGCGAGGACACCACCGTGTGCCTATGGGACCTCAAGCAGGCCACGGCCGGCAGCAAGACCATCAAGCCCGCACGGCGCTTCACCCACCACAAGAACATTGTCAACGACGTGCAGTACCACCCAATCAGCAAGAGCTTCCTGGGCAGTGTGTCAGACGACATGACACTGCAGGTGGTCGACATTCGGCAGGCGACGAGCGATAAGGCGGCCCTGGTGGCACGCGACGGGCACACGGACGCGATCAACGCGCTCGCCTTCAACCCGACCAGTGAGTACATTGTGGCCACGGCGTCGGCGGACAAGACGATCGGCCTGTGGGATCTGCGCAACGTGCGCGAGAAGGTGCACACCCTCGAGGGCCACAACGACGCCGTCACGTCGCTGGCGTGGCACCCGCACGAGGCTGCCATTCTGGGTAGCGGCTCGTACGACCGCCGCATCATCTTCTGGGACCTCAGCCGAGTCGGTGAGGAGCAGCTGCCTGACGACCAGGAGGACGGCCCCCCGGAGCTGCTGTTCATGCACGGCGGCCACACGAACCACCTTGCCGACTTCAGCTGGAACCCCAACCCGGCCGACTCGTGGCTGGTCTGCAGCGCCGCCGAGGACAACCTGCTGCAGATCTGGAAGGTTGCGGACTCGATTGTCGGCCGCGACGACGCGGACTTGCCCGTGGATGAGATGGACCGCTAGAGACGAGTCACTCGCCTCTCCAATTTTAGCGATCTGCCGGCCGACCTAATGTCGACGGGTCTGCTTTCGCCTTCGCCGTGACATTTCGATCGACGACATTTTGTGAAATGAGTCTGTTCGTTCTCCCGTTCTTTTGTGTTTTATATTTGCTTGATTTCCACTTTTTGTTCCTGTATCTTGACAGGACATCTGTCTGGTGTTTCCATCTACAATTTCTATGATCATTCTTTACTGTTTACAAACGGCGTCTTTGGGGCTTCGGGATGAGACGGGAGGGAGGACGAGGAAGCGAAGGCCTAGTCTTGGCTGGTCGACATGTACATGCCGTCCAAAGAAACGCTAAAAGAAGGACCAGTGTCTTTCCTTTTGGCGGCATGAAGGCAATGCTGAATACAAAAGTTCTTTCCATCTTGATTCTCATCGTTTCGTGTACGGTGCTTCTATTATCTCTATTCATTCGACGTCCTACCAGCAGGCTGCAAGGTGGGCAGCTTCTCCCAGCCCAAACACATCAAGCTGGTCGTGTGATGCTTTCGTTGATTTCCTGTTTCACCCTCCCACGTCTTGTGTAACTACTGTTTCTATGGGCCATCCTCCAATGGCTTCGACCTCACCATGTGCACAGCAAGGCAAGTCGAACTTGTTGCTATTGTTCCACTTTTATAAACCCGGTCTTAGCGCGTGCATTTTCCTACAGCTTGTTGCTATTGTTCTCATCGAGGCCTCGATGCTCTATTGACGAGGTGGCATTGGCTTCTGAACAGCTTTCATATTTTTTGTGCATTCGATCGACCTCGCACCGCAATGGTTCCTAACAGAGGATTGCTCATTGATGCTTTCTTCCTTTCCTGTCAAAATGAGCGTCTTCGGCTTCTTTCTGCAGACTTCGTCTTGATCTTTTTACGTCAACAATCCACCCTCTACTTGCTTCTTGTTTCTTATGTTTTTATTTCCACCTCGTCTTTCCATATTTTTCTCTTTCAACATCTTTCGTCTTTACCAACAGCTTCTTCCATTCTTCCCCTCGTCTCTTTGTGCATGCTATAGCAATCATGGATGTCCCTTCGCCAGCCTCCAAGGGCAAGAAACGAGCGCTGCCTCTCGACTTGCAAGACATCGCGGCGGCCATCCGGAATTTGCCTGGAGACGCGTCTGCACTTCTGCCGACACCAGCACCATTTCCTCAGTCGTTCGGATCGGCTGCCACCAACAGCAGCTTTGTGTCTGCTGCCACTACGCAGTCTGCACCAATGCCAGCTACAACGGACGTCCCAGTCGCTGCACGAGGGCGTTTTACCAAGGTTCAACAGGCCATCAATCGCGCCGCACAGCGTGCCAACCGCCGCATCCGACGAGACATTGGCCGCGGTCGCTACACAACCAAACAGATTACAGATGTCCTCCACGAACGAAACATGCTATTCCAAGACTGGCACAGGCTCCACGCCGATGCCCCCGGCAAGGACAAGGACCATGGCTATCACGAACTGGACAGAACATGGTCAGGCATCCACACGATCCCTTCCACGTTTCCTCATGACTTGCCAAACAGTTCGCTCGACAGCAATGTGTCTGCTCTCGTCTTCACGCAGACCCTACCCGATGTCCGATTTGGAGACAGCCAGCAGCCTCGCCCGTTTACGACCTGCGAGCCGGCAACGCTTCTGTCCTGGACAAAGTACTTCAAGGTCCTTGAGAGTGCTCCAGACGGAATGGCCTATGGGAATGCAAAAAGTGGCCTGCAGATGTTGCCAGCACAGCCAATGCAGCCTCTTCAGCTGCGTCTCCGGCGCCTACTTGGAGAAAAGCGACCCATGGAAGAGCAGCTACAGTCAACACCGCCGGCTCCCAAGCGGCGTCTTCTCTCCAGAGCCGTGACACTTGGTCACCCTCCCAAGCAGAACGACGAAAGTTACGACGGTGCCGTGCAGTTCCACCCCCTTTCGCTCGGTGGTCGCAGCTCCAGTGCGCAGGCCGCTCCTACTCCCACGACGAACCACCAAGACCTCCCCAGTTCACCTCAGCCAGTGGCAGCCAGCATCAAATTCGACCTGATGAGCTCCATCTCTTCATGCCTCGACATCGTTCTCAACGTGTGTACGTTCCTGGATCTGAGTGACATCCTCACTCTATATCGCGTCAGCCGAGTTTTCAAAGCCACATTCGACGACGAGTTGGAAGGCAACGTGCTGCGCATGGCCCGCCAGTTTGCATCGGCTGAGACTGTCCGCATCTTCCCCTTTCGGCTTTTCCCCAAAGCTACCATTCCCCTGCCCATCCACGCCGACGATAATAGACAGCATTCGCGCGCCCCGACGCTCCGCTACGTCAACATGCTAGTCAGCCGTGAGCGCAAGGTCCGCGACATTGTGGCTTCACTTGCCCGTGCCGGTCACCGCCTGCCACTGTCTACTGCGACGGCTGCCTTGAAGAAGATGTGGCTGCTTATGGATATCCCGACAAACCAAGACCGGATGAATATGCTCCAGGACGAGGAGCTCTTTTCCAACGCGGACCTCCTCACTATCCAGATGTTCCATGTCAAGCTCGTCTTGTACTTTCACGATCCACTCTTCGGCCCCGACATTTCACTCCCTGACACGACCGACGTCGAAGAAGAACAGATTGTACCCGAGCCGATTCTAGGAGCTACTGGGCCCTTTGGCGTTTCGGCTGGTAGTGACATGAACGACGTGCACAACGAAACATCCGCCGCTGCAAATGTTGAATCCATCCTGCGGCAGCAACTAGAGTTGCCAGGGCATGCCCTTGTTGAGACGCTCCTCGGCCAACGCGGCGGCTTTGACGTCTTGTGGAACTTTCTACGCGGCAAGGCATTTCGGAGTTTTCGAGAGGTGATCGAACTCAAGATCCGGTACGACTACGCACCGCCCGCCATGGACGCTGTTGATCACAATGCTGCGCAGATTCTCAGTTCGATGGCAACGGCGGAGAATGCGGAAACTTTTGGGAATTTTTTAAACTCCATCGAAGGCTTCTCCGACCTAGCGAACTTTGACTTTAACTTTGACTTTAACTTTGACTTCAACTTTGACGAATTCATCGACTTTGACCAAGGACGCTTACCAGAGACTGCTGAGGACAAAAATACGACTGTCGACGACGTCTTACGGTTAGTTCCAGCCTGGGAGATGGGCATTGGCCACCTCGAGGGCTGGGGTACGGGCACACAGCATCTGCTTCGGCCGGACGAGTTGGCGCCGCTGGAAGCGGCGCGCCGCATGCGCGCCAACCCGGATGAGCACATTGACTTGACTAACCACGTGCCATACATGGGCGTTTGGGGCAATCGCGACTTCACTACAGGCGAGAACCTAATTCCGTCGCTCGAAGAGCTGTACATTTCCGACAGCGAAGAGGACAACATCGTTGGCCAGATTGACAGCGGCGACGACGGCGACAATAACAAGGAGAACATGGGAACGTTGGCAGTGGCTTCTGGCTACGAGATGCGGTCTGTAGTGGCACTGGTCAACAAGCAATTCGAAAACTACCGGTACCCTACGTCTAGGCGTCGGATGGACGACCGATGCGGCAACGTCGTCGTGGACGAGGAGGATTGGCAACCATATCTGTCGCTCAAGAGCCGCTGGAGCACGCTGACCTTACAGGAGAAGCTCGATGTCTGGTGGGAAAACCATCAACAGCGCCTGTGGCGGCAAGCGTGGACTCAGAGGGGCGACAACGACCAACGTGCTAGCAGCAGCAACAACAACAACAACAACAACGTCAATAACAACATCGACGATGTTTCATATACCCAGCCTGACGATCCAGCAAACGATGATGACGATGACGATGGCGATGACGATGATGACGGTCATGATGCGGATAACGAAGAGGGCTATGATATCGGTTCCGACTTTGACGAGGACATGATGGACGGGGATTCTGACAGCGATCAAGACGAGGATGACGTCGACAGGTATCAGAGCGGCGATGGTATTGGAAGCCCCTCAAGCAACAGCCACAAGCCGGCCGTGCATGGTACAAGGGCGCCCAGTACGCCCTTGGCACCACCACCACCGTCGTCGTCGTTGTCGTCCGCTGCTATCCCTCTGCCCGACGCGTCCCAGAACCTATCGAGACGCCACCAAAGACTGGTCCGCTCCTGCATCCGCTGGGCGCTAAACGAGCAAGATGAGGTCGACGCCGCGCTGCTGGCACAGGCCGACATGGTATACGAAGAGGAAGAGCTGCAGCACTGGGACGCATTCATGGCCGCGGCCATGGCGGCAGGCAACCCGATTTTTGGCGGCGCCCCGGCCGGCAGCGACTTCGGTACGGACGACGGCCACGACATTGAGAGCGACGTTGACAACAACGACGACGCTCTTGACGACCATCTTCCAAGCACGCCTGTCCCCAACGCAGAAGACGTCCTTGCGCCCGAATTTGGCAGCATTGGAGATGTTGTCCGGCTCGTACGCCAGGTCAATGACTGCCTTGCCGCCGCCGAAAAAGCCAGAAAAACTCTCCGCTCCGACGATCCGGACATTGCCAGCATGGCGAGCGTGCGTCTGTCTGACCTCGTGAAGGAAGCCGAAGAACTCCAGTCACAGCTTGCGGCTGTGCTGCAGGGCGAAGTGTTTGCGATTGAGCTCTAATCAGGTTTGGCGTGATATGAGAGAGAAGAGAGAAGAGCACAAAATAGAGCTCGTGAGGACTTGTGGTGGAGAGTAGGAGTATGCAGCTTGTTCTCGTTTGCGTGTTGTCTTTGTCATTTCTCAATCATGTGTCGATATTGGCCGTTGCACTGTCTTCGTATGTTTGTTTTCCAAAGCAGCTCTTTGCCATTTGTCCTACATGTTCTCAAGCGCATGTAATAATGCTACAAGCAGATAATTTCAGCCATTTCAAAGTGTAAAATCAAAGCACGCCTCAAGAGAAAAGAATAAAAACGTAAACCAGTTCAGCTACTCTACCAGTTCCAATGAAAATCAAAGGAAAATGGAACGACAAAAAATGATGTGAAAAAAATCTAGTGTTTGGGAAAATATACAGGAGTTTTTGTGCGGTTTTATAGATCTTTTTTTCCATCTTTGCACGCGTCGTCTTGTGATGTTGCGCTCGTTCTTCCTCTACTTTCGCTTCGTTGCTTCATGACCTTCCTACAACATCAATTAACCGGTCGCCATTGCCGCCACGGGGGGAGGGATCTAGCTCGCTCTCCTGCGAGGCCAGCGGTCCTCTCTTTGGTCATGCCCTTCGAGGCCCTGGACAACATGCATTGCGGCAAACCCCTCTTAGAATTGCAGCCTGGCCAGCAATTTAGGCGGACTCCTCGGGGTACAGCTCCTCCTTCAGGACAATGCCGAGCTCCTCCTTCAAGGGCTTGAGCTCCTCAAGGTACTGCTGGTACTGGCCCTTGTTCTCGACCTTGGCCTTGATGCCTGAGACAAGCGCGTTAGTATATAGGAACAGCAAATGGACGACGACTGCCCTGTGAACGCCACATATTGTCACGTACCCTCGAAAACGCGGACGGCGGTCGGGTAGTCGTTGACTCTCCGGGCGGCTTTTAACGCAGCAATCAGCACAGACGGCGACGGGACCAGGTCGTAGGCGAAGGCGTTGTTCAGGTTGCGCTGGAGCTCGAAGACGTCCTGGACAGAGTCAAACTCCTTCTCATATCTAGACCAAACATTCGATGTCAGCTTCAGTTTGCGACTCAATTGGCCCAAGCAGCAGTCGGGATAGTAAATCGATCAATGCAGAGACGTCTAATCGGAGATGTGCAGCGCGGCCACGGAGCTCCCTCTGACAAAAATAGGGCCCCGACGGCCAGGCCGCTTCCGCTGCTCCGTTTGCGCACGTCCCGCCCGTTTCCCCCACACGGCCAATGGGGCCCAATTCGGCCAATAACCCATCGTCCTCCTCAAATCGGCATATTGCATGGCGCGTACCTGGCGGTGAACTCCTCAAAGGTCTCCTCCTGGTGCTCAGACCGGAGCCGAGCACCGGCGCTGAAGGCGGCCTTCTGGACAAAGGCAGCGCGCGTGGTCATGGCAGCGGGGCGGGCGACGAGGGGTGCCCGGACACCGCGGGCGGCGGCACGGAAGATGGAAGCAGACATGTCGGCGTGTGGATGGTGGTTGGTGGTGGTGGTGGTGGTGGAGAGGAGAGCTGTGGCGGTTTATGCCGGAAGTATGACGAGACACGAAAAATCGTCTGTTAAAAAGATTTTCGCACGATCAATTGGCGTTGCCGCAGGGCCGCTCGTCGGAATCTGGATGGGGAGCAAAAGACGGTGCTTTTGATTTCGCAAAGGACAGGGCCGTGGGCGCAGAGCTGTCGAGTTAAACAGACGTTCGAAGAGAAGAGGCAGAGAGAGCGAGACGAGAGGAAGCGGAAAGGGAGGGAAGAAAATGAGAATCGAATGATGTTTTTTTCCCTCTCGGTTAGCTCTTGCCAGCTAACGTTGCGGGCTTAGTCGCCTGCTAGGGATTGCACCCAGGCGCTGTGGCTACCACTGGGAAGCAACCCACCCCTCCTCGCTCCTTACCAGCCAAACCCCCCGTTGTTTTCCCGCCAAAGTCATGCGCCTTCCCCCCAAAACCGCTAGGTGTTGTCGCCTCAGGCAGAGAATTTTAGGTAAATCAGGACAAAGCTTCCTAGCAACCGGCCCAATCACCAGACGCGCTTTCCCAATCGACAGGTGAAATTGCCTTTTCCGAAAGCTCCAGCAGGCTCACAAGACAAACATGGAAAGAGCAATGTCGGTGTCGCGTTCCTTCCTTTGTGGCTGCGGAAAGCTACGACGTAATACGACATACAATTGGGGATATGATGCATGGAAATCACGGGTTCAGGTGCGGACGTTTCTAACCGAATCGTCTGGGCGTTGCCCAACAAAGCTCCAACAATGTGTTGTCGCATGTGCAAAGCTCCCGCCAGGTAGAAAGGACGGGCCGCCTTGCGCAATATGGCAACTGAAATGTCCTTTGATTTTCATTGGGGTATTCGACTCGTATCACGTGACAGCGTTTTGAGTCCAGAAGCTTTTCACAACGACAACACGACGTGTGGCCCGTCTCGTCGTCTCGTGAAATACCGTGCCCATACTCCGTAGTTTCAATAACATTTAGAGCCCACAAGTCGAAGACAATGGGAATGCCCAAATCAGCGGACGGACATTTGGTTTTCAACAGCACTGAAGCTGCTCAACTACAGGTCTTTCCATTTGATCTGCCGGGGGCGTTCTTATCTAAGATTTCCGTCTCCCTTTATCTATGCGCGAACCGCGCTCCAGCGTCCTAGACACTCAATTGCACCACAAAAGCCAGGGGGTTAATGATCTTGGCTTGGTAAGACCAGAAGCATTTCCGCGTCTTTGCTTGTGACGAGGGCGGTGAGATCCGGCAGAACTGCGGCCTCGTCCGCGTTGGCTGAATAACGCCACGGATACTGGTGTCTGATTGGCCAGGAGTGCTAAGCAATTTTTGCGCCGTGGTGCTAGTTCAGTTTACCTACACCGACAATGTTGTGTCCGTCGTTCTTGCAGTTACCAGTGCTGCAGTGCTCGAGTGTCCAATGCTTTCCTGTTCTTTCCGCCAACGTATCTAGATGTTCTGTCAGCCCCTGTAGCGATTACTCGTTTGTAGGAAGGTGCGCTTGATTTGAATAAATTCCCCTAATCCAAGACGCGCCTAAATACCACAAATGAGTGCTCTGGCAGCTTTGGTCGCATGCTTATTCGTTGCAGGGGACAATGCCCCCTTTGTATTGATGAGATTTGTTCCCCACCGTTTGATTTTTAAGATTGCTCGCTGTACAGAAGCCTCACACGCGCCTTCCCTGGTTGCGACATGCGCTCCACAGTGTCCCCAAAAGTCGAGGGTCGCAACTACCTGCGCTCCGCGTGCGCCGCGGCCAGCCCGGACTTTTCCCCTTTTGGATCGTCTTTACTAGGGCCACGTTCAACCAAAACTTCTTTTCCCCCTTCTATTATTTCGTACAGTATTTCCTCGATCATTCTTTTTTCGTCCTTTTTCGTTTCCTCTCTTTTCCATCTCGTCAACCTTTTCCCTTTCCATCGTCTGTTTTTTTTTGGTTCGGATTTTCTCGTCACTCCTTTTAATCACCTTCTTTTTTCTCTTCTTTTCCCTTCTTTGCTCCTCCTTTTCCCGCGACTTCCGGGCTACATCTATCGAACGTCTGTTCGTCTGTTCGACTGTTCTCTCGATTTTTCGAGTGTCACGGACAGTAACAGCTATCATTTACAGCCAATTCGTCGTCTCGATCGACTCCAGCGTTGAGCTTTGCCTCTTTAGCCTTTTCGATAATCGTCGCGGCGCAAGGGAACTGGTTGGTACGCGTGCACCCCTATTCAGCGTTTGGGACCGTCTCGGTCCTCGTGTCTTTTTTTTCGCGTCGTTGTTGCCCCTTTTTGGGCCAGCCCCAAATTATTGTCCCCCCCCCCCTTCCATGTCTTCACGATCTCCCTTCGTTCAGCATCCATTAACGTCAGTGTGCATTTGTCACGTTGCCTGGTTATCTTCCTGCGATATCCTTTTCTTCTTCTTGACTTGATTCGCTTTTCCCTTGGCATTCACGTCACTTTTTGAAGCCTGGTGGTCATTACTAATTTGTATCGCGTGCCCTCAGTTCGCCTTGTTGCATTGACCGTCTCCGGTTTCTATCTTATTTATCCTCCCCCGACTTGCCCGCAATGTCGTCCTTCGGTGACTTGATCGAGCTGGGCGTGCCCACTCTGGACCGCCCCTTTGGCCTGAAACTATGGCCCATCTTCAACAAGGCGTTTGAGCTTGTCGTCGGCTACCCAGCCGACCAGTTCCAGTTCGTCGCCGGCTCGACGCCTATGTCGACGCTCAAGGAGACGAGCATCTTCATCGTCATCTACTACTTCATCATCTTCGGTGGCCGCGAGGTTATGCGCAACCGCGAGGCGTTCAAGCTGAAGGCGCTGTTCCTGGTCCACAACTATGTGTTGACGGTCGTCAGCTTCCTTCTGCTGGTTCTGTACGCTGAGCAGCTGATTCCCACCGTCGCCCGCCACGGTATCTTCCACGCCATCTGCAGCAACGAGGGTGGCTGGACCCAAGAGCTGGTTGTCCTGTACTACGTACGTATTTTGATTTCACCTAGATGATGCCCTCAGCATCGCGAGTCATGGTGACAGTAGGAATGCCAATGCTGACCCTGCCTCTCTCTCTCTACAGCTCACCTACCTCACCAAGTACCTAGAGTTGCTCGACACCGTTTTCCTGTTCCTGAAGAAGAAGCCCCTTACCTTCCTCCACTGCTACCACCACGGTGCCACCGCTCTTCTGTGCTACACCCAGCTGATTGGCTCGACCGCCGTTTCGTGGGTCCCGATCACCCTGAACCTGGGCGTCCACGTCGTGATGTACTGGTACTACTTCCAGTCCGCACGGGGCATCCGCATCTGGTGGAAGGAGTGGGTCACCAAGTTCCAGATCATCCAGTTCATCATCGATCTCGGCTTCGTCTACTTCGCCTCGTACACCTACTTCACCTCCACCTACTTCCCGTACTTGCCTAACATGGGCAAGTGCTCTGGCGAGGAGTTCGCTGCGTTCGCCGGCATTGGTATCCTGAGCTCGTACCTGGTCCTGTTCATCTCGTTCTACCTGGCCACGTACCGCAAGGATGGCAAGAAGACGACCTCCCGCAAGGCTGTGCGCCGCATGTCCCAGGCTCCCCTGCCCGACCCGCACGACCTGCTGGTCGGCACTCAGCCCGCCACCGCCACCACCACGGGCGCCAAGCCCGCCGCCGCCAAGACCAGCGGTGTCACCACCCGCTCTCGCAAGGCATAAGTCGCCAGTAGTGGCAATCCGGAACCTCTGTCAGCCGTCCGTCGTTGTTACCAGACAATAGAGAAAACGCCTCGGACCCTGTGTAGGGGAAGCCACACACGCTCGAAAGGAACTCGAGATATCCATAGCATGGCGGTGCTGACGACGACATGGATGGGAGAGGGCTTGCACATGCATATGTGTTTGCGGGCAAGTGCTCGCCGGCCAAACAGAAGACGGGTGATCTAGACGTGACACTTTTTGCGCTGCACCATCTCGACGACCAAACAAAAATGGCGATACGAGTCGGCTGGGCGTGAAAACAACTCACATACTCGTGAAAAACAAAAACAGGGCGGACGACGTGAAGCCCCCTTGTCCTTTACAGCGGGTGTAGCGAGAACGAGCTGTTTCCTCTCCAGAAAGACACAGTTTATAGAGAGAGAAGAGATGCCCAAAGGGGCGTGTCTTTGTGGGTGTTCTTCTCGTTCTGCTGCTCACTTTTCTACCTTGTCATTTTCTTGTACCCATTTTCTTGTATCAACCCTGTATTCACAACGAATTTCCTACCTCTCTTGTGCTCATTTCGATTTCCTTTATATATTTCTCTGTTCATTATGTTTTTTATTTACTCCATTTTAACTCCTTCCCATGTTTTAGTCTCCCTTTGTTTACATGGCCTGCACAAAGACACGCGCACGGGATGGCAGAGTGGACGAGGAGAAGACAATGCTTTTGGCCCGTTGACTTGCCAATCGCCATCGTCTTAATTAGCAGACGACGTATCCTCCTTTTAGAGGACGTCTGTCTCCCGTCATCCTTGTGCGAGGCGGACATAATACAAAAAATAATAAAGTAGAATAAAAGTTATGAAAGCATCATCATTCAACTCGGCCAAATGCTTGCAAGGTGTTCAGCGACCGGCGAAGCGGCAGTCTCCTAGCCAGGCCAGACTACAAATAGCACAGTATGTTATGGACCCGTCATGAGATTGCCGTCCTGACCAGTTCTCGGCCAACAAAAGTTAGTAGGGCCATCTTTTGATCTTCCCCGACCTGTGGAGATGCCCTTTATTTGCATAAGATCGGATATTGATTTGCGGGGAAACAGGCGCTGTGTGTTCATCGCGGGCCTATATTTTGGCCAGTCTTTTTTACCGGGCCAGTTGCCGACGAAGAGACTATGCCGTGTGCTGGGCCATGCCGTGGAGGCTGCTCCGTGATCTACAAACAGACAATGGTGAGGAGGGAACAAAAGCTCGCACTCTCCTGATGCTTATTTGTTACAAGTTATGCCTTTCTCTTCCCACACAATCGGCGGTTTTTTTCTTCTTCTTATTTATGTGATTTTCTCCCTCTTTTTCCAAGTACGTCGTGCGGCGACCCAAAACGAATCTGTAGAGGTGCCGTGCTATCGACAATCTGTTTTAACCCCACTGATGAGGGTCGATGCGCTGCTGCAGGTGTATTAGATTGCTCACGTATATTAATAGCATCCTTTCTATGAGTATCACCTTGTCGGCAAGGGCAGCTTCTCCAGGACGGTTCGTTCCTTCCAGTCACAGCCAATAGCCCCATGGCGTCTTGGTCCTGTCCCCGTATTCTTCTTCGGTCTTTCTTCCGTCCTTGACAACCGGTACATCCCGCATCGCTGGAGGGGAAGGGGGGTGAAATTAAGATTTGGGAAGGAACGCGTGGTTCCGGAAAGAGCTTGCAGGAGAGCATGCAGAAGAGTTTTGTACAGACGGGACGGGCGATGCAGGGGGTTCTTTTTGTTCGTTCTTTTCATTGTCCCGTCATTTACTATCTTGAAATGTCCAAGCATGCATCGTCGAGATCAGTGACGGACATCATCAGAGACTACGCTCTAATTCCTTGTCATTTTTGATGTTCCTTTTCGTCCATTTGCTCAATGTTCAAGGTTCGTTCCACGATTTTTTCTAGAACATACTATCAGTCGTTTCTTCGCGGAATTCGAATAGCTAGATCGAAGCTCGCAATACATTTGTCTAGGTCTCTCCTATCCGGCCTGCGTCAACATCGACGTTATCAATATGGAGACACAACCAAGAACCTGGACCATTTCCTATTCAAGCCTCCCCTTTCGTTATACATGTCGTGGTATCACGACGTATTGTTTGTGGGTTGGATTGTCTCCCTATCTGCTTTCCCGTTTTAGGTTTTCCTTTTCTGTCACCAAAGTCTATTCCGCCATGTCCTAACTCTGAGTAACCGGGTCCCGATTGCCCTTCTCTTGTCGTCTTCAATATTACGACAACTACCTAAAAATACCCGTATCAACTAGCTTTCTGGAAGAACAGGTATTAAAAAAGACGAAAGTGCTTCATTAGGCGGGGTAGACGTGTTTGATCCCCGCAGGACAGCTCAGAATTGCGTTGCATTGCAGTGATGAGCGGCACGCATGGGTTAAAAAAAGAATTCGGGTCACCTTCTCACAACACTAACCAGACTCTTGGACGACCAAGATGTAGCGGTGTTTGGGTTGGCGCTTTGCTATTTTGCTCTCCCCCCAGAACCGTGTCTTTTCTGGGGTCGTGTTCGCCCAATCTTGGTGTTTACATGGGACGGGACGCAGTACGCCGAAGGTACGGAGTGCCTCTGTACTTTACTGTGGAAATGCTGTACAGGGCATGAACAAGGAATCTGCTGGTAGAGAGAGAGACAGAAGAGCACAGCAACATTTTCAACACAATTCAGGCCGCTGATGCAGTGTCTGTGACCCTTGATGTGGCCATCAAGGGTAAACAATTGTCGGGATGGTGCATCTTTATCGTTGGACGCATGTCGTACAGTAAGTAAATAATGGCTTCAATGGGGCGTGAAACTGTCCAGATTTGGCGTTTGGCCCCTGTTTCTTCCCATTTGGCTCTGCCTCGGGTCGCATTGTGTCACTTGAAACCCGCACCGTCTGAATGTCTTTTGTAAGACTTACAGAAAGGTCTGAGGGTATGCTTGCTTCACGCCAGCTCTCTCTTTGACTTAACCTCGGTCTTCCCTCCAACGCCAAGACGTGCCATTTTAATGGTAACAGTGTAATTCGTAAGGAAGCTCCCCATGTCTGGCTGTCTTTTGTGCACGGCCTTTTTCAGAGACAGTCTCGGGGCAAAAGATATGCTCCAGGACGCACTCGTACGATTTTGTTTCAGATGGCTCTGGTGGCAATTGGAAGCTGAGAATGGAATCCATGATTCTACAGGCGACCCGTTATTTGTCGAGTCCCGTTAGATCACAGCAAAGCTTGATCCATACGGAGCATGTCGTACACCTGACAAGCATACATCTCCAAATGTCTCATCTAGTACGGCAGGTGAACAAGAGAACCGGTCCAACAGACAGAGAGCAGCCAACGAACAACATCGAGACAGGCGATATGAGAGTTTATGACAAAACAAAACTAGACGAAAGCAGCGTACTACTACTGCAGAGCGTGTGATGTAAGAAGAAAAGGGACGAAGAACAAAAAGAGAACAGATGAAACGGGCTGAACATGCCCGGAAACGAGACGTTGAAACAAGCCTAGTTGCTTCAAGAAAGAGCAATGCAAACAGAAAAGAAAAAAAACCAAGAAACAAGTCATCTGATGCGAGAAACAAAGACCTGTCGGTCCTTTGATCTTTGACCCGCTCACGACCACGCGTTCTTTCACCTCGAGTTCATGAAGCATGTCAAAGAAATAGGGCGTCAGTTCTCTTTCCTTAGTTCGTTTCAACGAAGAGACGTTGGTCGCATTGAATAAAGTGAATGTCCTAGTCACTTTGTTGCGTCAGCAGGAGGATAATCCTCGTTTTCCACTGTTTGCATTCTCCCCCTCCCCTTCCCCCCCCCCTTTTTTCTGTTCACTCTAATGTTGCACGATGTACGACGTACGGAGTTATTATTCAAATAGTAGACGTGAGACACCAGACCAACAGCAGGGGCCTCGAGACTTACACCAAAAAAACTGGGCCGCTTTTGTGCCTGGCGGCGCCCCGTACCTGACACTAATAACAATCCGCAAGCATTTTATGGCCTTAATGTGTAAGAAAGGGGCAACAACACGCAACTCGGATTTACGAGAGACAAAACAGCACTGGCCGCTGATATCACGGGGAAAAACGCACATAGATCATAATATTTTGCAGTAGAATGTGATTGAGAGAAAAAAATGAAAAAGAAGGGTATCATCAAATCGTCCAAAACAGCGAGGCCGTTAAAAAAAAAAAGAGCAAAAACATGCACTCCAAGCAAATGCCCAAAAATTAAAATAAAAAATTCAAACCAAAATTCCAAACGAGTCCTGTTGTTCCCTTGGGCTCCGAGTCCTGTGGTGCCTTTCCAAATTTTATGCAATATCCTTGTCCTTGGTGGATTATGAAGTAAAGGTAGAGAGAGAGAGAGAGAGAGAGAGAGAGAGCAAAACCCTACAGCAACCTCAAGCTCCTGCGCCGACCTGCCAGGTTGCCGAGGAAGCTGCCGCCCGAGCTCTTCCTGGAGACGACAAGGTCAGTGGGCGTGGCCAGTCGTCTTGGAGTGGTAGCAGCCATGCTGTCGTTGCCGTCAAAGCCGTCCTCATTAGGCGGGCCAGGGGGAGGGGCGTTCATCAATGTCATTGACGAAACGACCGACAGGGCCAGGGACTTGCGGTTGCCGGGTGTGTCAAGAAGAAGACTGGGCGATACGGCCGTTGCCGACGTAGGCGTTGGCACCTTTTCGACCATGGACTCGCGGCGGCCGAGGCCACGACGACTGCTCACTCTAAGCGAGCGCGTCATACCGCGCAGCAGGCCAGCGGTGCCAAATGTCGGTGTCCGGGGCGACGATGCAGCCACCGTCGACTCGCCGCCAGCCACCAGAACCGACGTAGTGTACGACCGGGCAGGTGCCGCCATGATGGGGGCAGACACGGCCGCAATCGCATCGACAGCACTCCCAGGCGCAGTCGGCGAGGGCACAGCGGCCACGGTCGCGGTCGTTTTCAACGAGGGCAGCACCGGGGCGCGACTCCGGCCCACACTAGCCGTATTGGCATTGGTCGTCGCCGTCACGGCGGCTGCTGTCAAGGCCAATTTGCGTGCACTAAATGATGCCAGCATGCCATTGCCACCCAGGCCACCGATACTGATGCTGCCCATGCTGGCCGAAGAAGAGCTGTTGCGCTTTTGCTGGTGCTTGGCAGGGCTGACAGTGCTGCTGGGTGCTGTTGACAACATCGAGCCGCCGCTCGACGTCGACGGCCGCGTCTCAGAGAGCACGACCGAGGATGCCGACGACGAGGGGCTGCGGGCGTTATGGAGCGATTGCCGGCGAGCTTCACGCTCCACGCCCAAGTCGACGAGCGACGGCTTGCCCGCATACACAACCGAGACAACGCGGGCAATGTCGTGGCTATGGCGACGAGTGTGTGTTGCTGTTGTAGCTGCAGCTGTGCTGTTGTTTTGTAATGAGGCCGTGGCCGATGTGGTGTTCGTGGCGACGGCGGCCGGAGCGCTGTTGTTGGTCGAGGTCCGCGCAATGACGGCAGCGGACGTGGCCGTTGCCTCTTCGAACTCGCCGCCGTAGTCGTCAAACTCGTCGCTATCAAAGTCAAAGTCGGACAGGTCGCCCAGCGACGAGGCGTCCTCTTCAGACGAGAGGTAGACGTCGAGTGGCGTGGGCGGGCTGGTTATGGCGCTGGTCAATGCGGCTTTGCTGGTTGTTGGCGTGACTGTCATGTCTACAGAGAGTGCTGTCTTGGGATCGAGCATGGCGTCGAGGAAGCATGACTTGCGGCGAGCGTCCCGCTGGGGAAGTGGTGGTGGCATGAGTGAGAGCGAGGGCGAAGAGGCGGATGTGAGAGGTGTCGTCTTGGTCTTGAACAGCGAGTCGTTGTCGTTGTCTGAGCTCAGCGGCGATCCCGCGGGCTGTTCTTGTGTTGTATGCGTGTGGCCGTCCATTCTGGAGAGCAAGAATGTTGTACCGACGTCGTCGTCGTCGGGCGTCATTTGCGAACGAGGCGCGGCCGTCATGGCAGCCGGTTTAAGTAGTGGTGGGATGCGTGCTCGGACAAAGGAGCAGCCAGAAGACGAGAGAAAGACCGTTGGCCAAAGTTCTTTGTCGAGCGTGCCGTTCTTGTTTGTTTCGCGTCTTGGAAGAGAAAGAGGGCAGAGAAAACAAAGATAATATAAGAAACACCAAAAAGGGATCTTTGGCCACCGCGTTTTTTTGTTGCCTCGATCGCCGCGCTTGAACCCCTGTCGTGTGATTTTCGTTCGTTTATTTGCTTCCGTTCAAGAGCTCAAGAAAGTCCTCAAGAGGGTTTAGTTCCGCCGGGGAAGAGAGGAAAACAGCAAAATGAGTCCAGAGAAAAGGGGCCGTTTGTTCGATCAGGCTTCTTTCGGCAACAGACAATCCACAGCAATCTCCCAGTGCTTTGGCTTGGGGTCAGAAGCAGTGGGTCGAGGCTAGGTTACTTGGAGAAGCAGGAGAAGGAAACAAGCAGAAGACGACAACAACACATATGAGGAAGTCGCGATGAGAGCCAGAGAAGAGAATATGAAGAAGGAAGAAGGAG